GCTTTATGAATTATTAAAGTTATAAAACTGTGCACTGCAGGCAGCCTTGCTTGGGGGGGAGCTGGGTGGAGGTCTCCAAAGCCTTTGTGCTCAAGACCCCTACGGGTCCTCTTCTTCCCCTTCTGCCTTTGGGGAGCAGAGCTGCCCATGGAAGCAGGGTTCTGTTCCTCAGCTCTGCTCTGAGGCCTGGAAGGAGTGGGCAGGAGTGAGGAGCCCCAAGCCCTTGGAGGGCCGACTCCCCTGGGTACAGCCCCTCTGGTTTTCAGGCACAAGGTGGTGGCCCTGGCTCCAGCGACCCTAAACAGCCTGGTTTCTGCCTTCCTCCTCCTCCTCCTCCACCCAGAGGGTCTCCCAGGACTCCGAGGGCCATCCACAGAAGAAGTGGGCCACATTGCGGGTCAGGCCACGGTCGAAGGGGTTGCCGGGGCGCTGGCGGAGGTAGGCAATGCGGTGTGAGGACATGAACTCCCAGGTGGTGGTGTTGCTGGCCACCAGGTAGAGGTGCGAGGCCAAGAGCAGGCCGGCCACTAGGGAGAAGAGGGACAGCAGCAGGAAGGTGGCGAACAGGAGCCCGCTGGACCGCAGCCAGAGCCCCCAGGGCTGGAAGAAGTGGAGGCCAGACCTGCAGGGAAGGAGGGACAGGGACCCAGAGCTGCAGGAGGGCAGGGGTGCCCCAGGGAGCCATTTGGGAGAGGGTCCCAGGCCCCCGAAGAGGGAGCCTGGCTCTCTCCACACCTTGTGGGTGTGTGCTGCCTGCCCTCCCCCACGCCCAGGGCGCTGGGGGAACCCACCATGCCAGGTACAGGCCCCACAGAAGCACCACCAGCTGCAGCGCCAGGTAGGCCACGAAGAGCGGGTGGTTGCGCTCCCCAACGCAGTTCTCCATCCAGGGGCAGTGGTGGTCATAGCGGCGGACACAGCGTCGGCACTCACGGCAGTGCCGGGCCCGCAGGGGTTGCTGTGGACATAGAGGGAGTCGGGCCTCAACACCAGCTCCCCTTGGGGCCCAACAGTGAGGGGACGCATGAGGGTGGGAGGTCAAGGCCTGCATCTGGGAGGCATTCCTGGAGGAGGGATGAAGCCAAGGAGAATCAACAATTGCCCCGACCCCTCCCACGGAGGTCCCTGCATCACCCACCAGCACCATACAGAATCTGCAGCGCCGAAGGGGGATGGCCTGAGGAACCATGGCTGTCTGCTCCTCCTTGGCCTCCTCCTGAAAATGGGGATACAGAGTTTAAGATGGGGGTCCCTTGGGAGGCAGATGACATTGGTGGGTGTCTCCCTTGGGAACTGGCTTAGCTCTAGGTGTGCACATTTTTGGGGCCCATTTCCATGCTTAATGGAGGTAGGAGAGTGGGGCAGAGTGCCCCAGACTGTGTGAGGCTGTGTGACCTTTGCCAGTTGCTTCCCCTCTCTGGGCCTTGGCAATTGTCTCATTGTAGGATAGGGTTCTAGGGCTGGCAAGACGCTTCACTGGGATTCCCTAGGAAAGCCCTCAGCAGAGAATCTAGTCTACAGACTGCTGAGTTCCTTGGGTTCACTGTTGGGAGGAGGAGGGGTTTGGGCCTCTGGGTTACCTGGGGCTGGGGCTGGACATTCACGTATCCTGGGTCCATGAGTGACACAGCCAGGTAAAGCAGCAGGGAACCCAGCACCAGGAGCAGGAAGGTGAGGGGCAGGAGCAGCTCCCCCTGCTCTTCCCACTGCCGCAGTGCTGGAGAGATCAGAGGAGGAGAGTGAGGCTGGAGCGGTGGAATAGGAGGGTGCAAGGGAGGGGTGCAGCTGGAGGTGGGAAGTGTGTCCCTGGCTGAGCAAAGTCCTGGAGATGGGGTTTGATGAATGGTCAGGTGTGGCCACTGCATAGGATACAGGAGGGAGAAGTTCAGGTTCCAGCATACACACACACAAATAGTTCATCTGCACTCTCTCTGAAGGGCAATAGGGAACCACGGAAGGTTATAGGGTCAGATCTATTTCTGAAAGTCCTCTTCCTGCTGAATAAAGATGGATCAGAGGGGAAGCCAGGATGGAGAGGAGTGCAGCTGGACAAGGGCACTGTCAAGAAGGGTTGGGAGGAGGAGATAGACAGATGGAGTGAAGGAGCCAGACTTGGCTGGATGTGTGGGAGAGGGAGGAGAGTTCTGAGGGGTCTGGCTCTGAGATGGGGAGGGACTGGCCAGGTCTGAGATGCCCAAGAGACAGAGATAGAGGAGGGTGGGGCCAGCAGGCTGAGATGCTGCAGAGGGACCATAAGGGAGTGCACGCCAGGAAGGGTCCAGCCCATGGAGGTGACTGAAGAGGGTAGGAGGGCTGAGGAAGGAGGGGCAGGAGACAGCCAGACAGCAAAGTGTGGACAACTCTGGTGCCCCTTGGTTGTAAAAGGGAGAAGGAAGAGGCGTTGCACTCGGGAGGTCCTTTCTGATGGGGAGACTGAGCAGGTTTGGGGGCTAAAGGGCTAGGGCAGTGGAAGAGACTTAAGACGGTCTTGGAGGAAAATGAGAATGCCCCCAGCCCAGGCGCTTAGGCTGGAGGAAAGAGGGAGGGGTAGGGCTGTGGCTGTGTTAGCAAGGGAGGGTGAGGACTTGTGCTGGAGGTGGCTTGTGGCAGATAACGATGGGGAAGGACTGAAGTGCGTTAGTGGGATGGACGGCTGCTACCAGGACGAGAATCAAGGATGAGAACATGGGGGATGGGCTGCTCCCCTATAGAGTGTTCTCTTGCCTAAGAGTGGGGAGCCTGGACTTGGGCAGCTTGTGGCCACGGGGGTGGGAGGGATGCCAGTCCTTCATCTACTTGATCCTCTTGGGAGTAAATCCTGGGAAGGACCGGGAGGGTCCCAGGATCAGGGGCGATGGGAGCTCGAGTCAGTCGTCGGATCTGGTGGGCACCGGGTGGGTCCTGGGATAGACAGGGCATCTGGCTGGGATCAGGAAGATTCTGGGATTAATGAGGGATCAAGTGGGTGTTATGCGGAAAGCAAGCGGCTCTTGGAAGGACAGATGGGGAGGGGGCCTCAGGAGCTGGAGGAGATCCGGTGAATTCCAGGATCTCTTGGGCTTCGGCAGTGAGACCCAAACATCTGAGGAACCACGCGGGATTGGGTGGGTCCGGGGTCGCGCGGGTTCCGGCTCACCGGTATCATGCAGGAAGAGCACCAGCGTGATCCCCCAGGTCAGCACCGTGTGACCGGTCCGCACCAGGACCCCATGGCTGAGGAGCGCCCAGGGCGCCATCGGCTCCGCCCGGGTTCCCACCCGGAAGAAGCGCCCGGTAGGGCGGGTCCTCCGAGGGAGAGGGCCCGCGGCCATCCGTGGATTGGCGGATCCGGAAGGTGGGAGGGGCCGGATTGCGTCATGGAGGCTGCCTATTGGGCGGCAGCTGCGGCCAAGTAGGCCCTCGAGCCAACAGGTGCCTGAAGAGGCTGAGGGCGGGGCCGGCGCGCGCGCAGCCGGTAACTCCCTCAACCCCACCTCCCACCAGCCAGGTAACTTTTGAAAGCCAAGGAGCAGGCACGCCCCTCTAGGCTCCCACCACCCGCCCCAATCCAGCAGCCTCGCGCATGCGTGAGGCTCCCTGAGAGCTTCAAAGCTCCAGGTGTAGTGACTTCAGGCTGCAGAATTGTGCCCCGTTCAGAGATTTGATGACTGAGGCCTCGAGGCGGGCAAGACTCGTCCAAGGTTGCTCCTTGGTGACACACTTACATCCTTCTATTCATTTTCACATATTGCAAATAAGATGACTGCAGAGTAGAGGTCTGAGGTGCAGATTCTGGCTGTGAGGGGCCCAGCTTGGGTCAGAGTCAGAAATTCCAGCACTGCCCCTTCCTACCTGCATGAGCCTGGTGAAGTTACCGAACCACTCTGAACTCTGTTTTCTGTCTATATAATGGAGATGATAACGGTACCCACCTCCTGAGGTGGCTGGAGGATTAAATAATGGAAATACAGTGTCTTGTCACTCTGGCTCTGAGCCAGCACCTACACCCTCCTGACTTGCCCAAACCAAGGCTTCAGGCTATTCTACGATAAAACCTCATCATTCACTACTTACACTCCACTGTGCCCCTAGGGCCTAGGGCCTTCCCCATTCAGCCCTACCTCACCTCCCAGTGATACCATCATCTACCTTCCTCCATCATATTGCCCATCCCCCAGCTCTGCAGTATACTCTCCTGACAGCTTTGGTTTTTGTGAGCTCAACATCCCTTTTTCTGTTGGGGAACTGACTTTTCCCCATCCTGTATGGTTCTAGAGGAACTATGTCCCTCACTCTGCAGGGTGATGGGAGATAGAGTGTGAGCATGTGACCAGAAGGCCAAACATGGTCTGCATCTCATTATCGCCAGTGACTGGTCCTAAGTGGTGGGCATATGACTTGGCAGGGCCAATAAGAATCATTCCATGAAAGTACTCTATAGATGCTGAGAGAGAAGGGGGCATACTTTTGGATTTCAAGCATAAGGTATAGGATATAATAGTAATCAGCAGCTGGCTCTACAGTATGTGGAGAGAAACTCTGGCAGGAGAGAAGGAGGCCAACTATAAATATAGACATAGTGATAAGCAGCACTGAAAGCGGGAGTGAGAGACAGTCTTAACAACATTGTCTGGGCCCCTAGATCCAACTATACCTGAAGCTGATCTTAACATTAGGTCCCCTGTTGTGTTAATCAATAAATTTCCTCCTACTCTTGACTAACCTGGGTAAGTGTTTGAGTGTCTGTCACTTCCAACTCTGTCTTAATTACTACAATGGTTGCATGACAGTGTGCTGAGTGGGGACCTATACCACATTATCAACATAAGAAATAATCTCGAAGCTCCATGAGTCAACCGCTGAGCTGGTGTCAAAGATAAATAAAGTCAGACACTAGTTAAAGTTGTAAGGACAGATTTTAATTAGTCATATACTATTGCAATAGGGGAGAGGATCCAGGGTGAATTGAATGCAACTTTGATTTGTATAGAGGTGATTGGGTATTTTAAAGGGAGAATGAAAGCAGAGAGATGGGGAGGGGCAGGGGCTTGAAAAGACTCAGGGAAGTGAGAAGTTCCAGAGTGGGGCAAGGTAAATGCTCGTGAGGCCAGCTGTGTCTGCTAGCTGGCAGTGACTGAAGTCAGGCTTCTACCCTCCCACAGAGACTGGGAGACAGAGGCCTGATCCTTCCTGACGATTACATTTTAAAGAGATGGCCTTCAAGTCCTTGAGAAAGAAACTTCTGAGCTGTAGGAGACACAAATACACCTCAAAGGGACAGAGGAAGCATTCACAATTGTAAGCCCTAAGTAAATGCTCCAAGAAAGGGTGGCCAGGAGCCTGTCATCAGGTGTTGGTTAAAACAAATAGTGAATTCTTTTGGCAGCCTTGAGCTTTCTCAGGCAGGCACTTTAAGGGGGCTGAGGTCATCCTAAGGACGTGACCTTGAGCTATTAGAAATGATGTTAGTATTTAAGTCTTTTAATGTCAGAGGAGGGAGGTGGATGAAATCCCTTGTGCTGAAGAGCCTGTAGTTTTTATAGGCTAAAGTTGAGGCCTGCTTGAGAAGAGGGCTTGGAGCCTGGCTACAGTTTGGTCAAGAAGGGAATCTTTATCACTGGGCACTGGGGACACACCCACCTGGCACATGGAGGAATGGTCCCCCTTGATCTGAGCCTGTTCTCTGGGAAAGAGCTCTCCCTCACTGGCTGCAGCCTCAGTGGCACTTCAGGGACATGGAGGCCACTGTTGAGAATTACACTGGGACAACAGGTGTATATCAGGTCCTTCCTAGGCAAAGCCAGGACACCTCATGACTTGGCGTCAGCTCTTTCGTCCCTTCCTGCTGGCACTCTCATTTCTTCACTCTGCTGCAGTCACAGGGGCTGCTTCTTGGTTCTCCCAGTGGGGCCTTCTGCTAGCGGGGCCCTCTGTCTAGGATGCCCTTCCCCTGGCCCCCTACAGCCAGGCCTGGCAGCCTTGTCTCTTTGCCGGACCCAGCTCACATGTCTCCCCTTGTGAGAAGGCTCCCCTGACTGCTTCAGGACCCCGCGCTGTCCTTTATCTGCACATATGCTCTTTCCTCTCCCTGAAGTGCGGCGACCCAACCAATTCCAGTCTTTCCTGATCCCTCCACCCTCCCACAGCCCACAGGACAGCCTGCTCTGCGTACCCTTCTCCCTGCTTCTAACACTGGATCATAATCTGGTATTTAACACTGGTCTTTAGCATCAGACAGCCATTCTGGACAGGGGCCCTGGTGGTCTGTGGCCAGCAGTATCCTCAATGTCTGGGCACAGGGGTGTGGAGAGACTGCAGAGGAAAAACAGCTACTCCAGCCTGATCTGTCACCTGTCACTTGTCACCAGTCTTTAGCCAACCAGCCTGGCCCCCTGGGCTGAGCACACAACCTCAACCTCACCCTCTCTGCCCCAGATCTTACCCTCGAGGCACACCGCCCAAGCCGGCCCAGGCCCCTGTCCAGACCCCACCCCTTCCGCAAAAAAGACACTCTGCTCTTGTCCACTTTGCACAAAAATGTATTTCTGTGACATCCCAAAGTACAGACATTTACCCAGGCCCCAGGTGATAAAGCAACGCAATGTGAGCTCTGTCCTGGGTCTGGTTCAGGCCATGTGAGCATGGAAGGGAGGGGCAGATGTGGCCCATCTGCCAAGCTGAGGGACACAGGGCCGCTGCCCTTTCCCAGGGTCGGGGGAAAGACCCCAGGGGAACTAGGCTGGGCACCTCTCCCCTGGGCTGCTCATCCAGCCTGTTTTGTTTGGAGGCAGAAACGCCACGAGAATCCAAAAACAGACCCAGGGAAGGATGAGGGAAGAAAAGCCACCTCTCCAAGGGCCGCCTGCAGAGTCAGCTCTGCTCCCAGGCCGCTTGTTCCAGAGGGGCTGCCTCACCGCCATCTGTCCCATGAGAAGCGAGTCCAAGGGACATCAAGGGAGGATCACAAGATCTTTCCAGATACATTTGTGTCTCACACTTTGAAACACAGCACAGAGGTTCCCAAGGGAAAGCCTGGGGGCAGAGTGGGAGGGGCGTGGGAAGGGCTCCGGAGGGCCGAGCGGGGCCACTGCAGGCTGGCCAAATGCTGGTCCGGAGGTGTCTGCCTGTTGCCGCCGGTAGAGGCTGGCGTGGGGACCTCCTGCCTGTGAGAGGTGTGGGGTCCTCTGGGCAGCGGGGCAGGCAGGGGTGAATGAGGCAGGCTCAGTTCTGCTGGTGGGGTGCCTGGGCACCGTGGGTGCTGTGGGCAGATGAGGGGTGGGGGTGGGGTAGCAAGCCCCTGGCCCCAGGAGGTGCTGGCTTCCTGGGCCGAGGGCAAGTTCTAGATATGTTTGGCAGAAGGGGCAGTGGAATCTGCCCGAGTTCTGACCAGCCTGGGGCTGGGGCCTTCAACAGCCTGGGACCTGGTGGGAGACTAGGAGGCAGCCTCCATAGCAGCGTGGCCGCAGGCAGGCCTGGCCAGAGGGCAGCAGAGCGAGCCACTGTCAGCCCCGCTCCTTGAGGACCCTCTGGGGCTGAGGCTGCCTGGACCTCGGCAGGCACGGCTCACTTCCTTGCCCCAGAGAGCCCACAGCTGGGAGCACCAAGGCATTTGGGAGACCCAGGTGGGGTTAGGTTTAATCCCCAACCCCATCGCCATACCCAGGAACCTAGATGGGGTTCTCAGGCTTTGGTGGGTGGGTTAGGGTGCTGGCGTGGGCTATCAAAAGCCCACTGCCTCTCCTAACAGGAAGCAAGGCCAGGGTCTGAGATTACAGGGAAAGGGCTGGACACTCACAACATTAGAGGCATTTAGTCTGGCAGGGGCAGGAGTGAGTGTGGCAGCGATGAAGGCTTTGAGTCGGGGTTTGAGAATGGCCAAGGAAGCTGCAAGGACTCAGGGAGTGTTTCTTTTGTTTTTGTACAGAAATCATACACACAAAACTTCACACTTCCTAACCAAAAAAAATAATATATATATATATATAATATATATATCTCACTAATGTTAAGGAAAAGCGTCGGTTGTGCAAAAGTCCCCCTGTGTCCCTTCATCCAGTGGGAGGCTCCCCGAGTGGGGATCTGCCAGCTTGGCTGCTTGAGAGTGCTTCCTCCCTGCCTTGTGGTCCAGAGTAGTGGCAGCCATGGGGCAGAGGCCTCTATCTGGACGTGTCCATGTTCTCCTCTTTAAAGTTACTGCAGTGCTCAATCACCTTGCTGGAGACAACAGGAGAAAGAGGATGGAGAACGGGCTTGGATCTGGGCGGGCCCAGCCCTGCCCTGCTCTGCCCTGCCCGGAAGATCC